ATTATCATTATCATTATCATTATCATTATCATTATCATTATCATTATCATTATCATTTTAGCATTATCATTAGCATTATCATTAGCATTAGCATTAGCATTAGCATTAGCATTAGCAATAGCATTAGGATTAGCATTAGCATTAGCATTAGCATTAGCATTATCATTAGCATTATCATGATAATAGGTTGCTTATTATTATTATTATTAAGGTTGCAAAGTTTTAATAATCATAATTGTAAATCACTTTTTTTATGAGAATTAATATCATAAATAAATATATTTCTGTGGCCAAAGGAGACGAAATAAAAAGACTGACCCTGCAGCTAGAATCAAGGAACTGACAGTGCGAGGTATTTTAAAAAAACTGGGTCTGCTTAACCTCCTCCCGACCTTTCAGCATCACGAGGTGGATGTAGAGGTCCTCCTTGGGGTCGATGACGAAGATCTGTTAGAGATAGGAGTTGAGAGTTCAACAGATAGATCTAAGATTATTCAATATGTCAAACGATACAAAGCATGAAAATTTTATTATTTACAAGTTACTGTATAAAGTTACTATATAAAGTTACTATATAAAGTTACTATATAAAGTTACTATATAAAGTTACTATATTAAGTTACTGTATAAAGTTACTATATAAAGTTACTTTATAAAGGGGCTGTAGACACAATTTCAAGTGACCCTCTGTTTAAAGAGTGTCATATTATTGTTTCTATTTAAAATAATTGAATTTTGTTCATATTCTCTATAGCATGAATGCGCAAGCAACCACAATTGCAAAAAAAAAATTTTCAGCTAAAAAAAATAAGGATATTTCATTTATCCCTGGTCGAATAGGCTTAAACGTAATTCATTCTCGATATAGACAATTCAAATCTTGTTAAGAAATCTAAATTAAGATAATTCTTCATTTGGTGGCATACAAACCGACCTATTGGTGGCATACAAACCGACCTATTTTTCAGGTCTGTTCCTGTAATATAGATTTTAAGCTTCTATCCCTTTTAAGTCGGCTTTACCAACAGATTCCTTTCCTTTCGTCAAAAAATAGTGAACTAATATGTTTTCTCTCTGAAAGAACCAGGAATAATGATTTAATTTGTTTAAATATACAATAAGCGTAAATTCAAGTGACGGTAATGTAAACATGTCAATGTCCGATTATGAAAGGTTCCCTGAAAGCTTAGTCTTTTTTAAAACTTTTTTTTTTAACTTGTGGTCTCTCTTCGAAAGTGACTTGCGTATTTTTTGCTTATAAAAATCAATGAAGAATTTAGCCAAACTAAACACTTTTCAAATAGGAAAAATATGTTAACTTCCACATTATTAATTAGATTAAGGTATCAAGGGTACCGTTGTGAATCAAGCATTGTCATCTTTGCATGAAGGTACAATTGAAATTACGCTTACAGTCCCTTTAATAAATCCTGAACAAACGTATTAAAAGCGCTTGATGAATGGTTCCAGGTTCCAGACTAGATTAAACTATCAAGAATAAATAAATTAAAACTAAAATTATCTTTCTGTGATTATATCAGTTATATCGTATAGTTTATAAAATTATATTTATAAATGTTCAGATCGAATCTTTATTTTTTTCAGATTAAAAATGAAAAATTCTGCACCCGGCGAAAAGTTTTTTAAAAGTTATCGTGGGAAAAAAATACTCGAATAATTTAAGTTAAATATTTTAATTTTCCAAATTTAAATCAAAACTCTTTCAAAGAACCTTAAAGGAAAGTTCAAATCAAATCAAATCAAGTTCTTATCTTATAATCCTTAAATTTTTGCAACCTATGTCTTCTTATACCTTTAATGTTTTAAACTATGCAGCATTGCTTACAAATCTAATCTAGTTTGAAATATCATATGCTGCAAAGTTATATGAATTAAAAAATTAGATTATAAGGTAATAATTACACTTCCTTTCACTTAAAACTCCTAGAAGGATGAACATTTTTTTTTAAATTTTATTTAAATGTATAAATTTTTTAGAAGAGTGGGATAACCAAGAACAGATTTTTTACTTGCGTTTGACTAAAATCGGCCATGTTTTTCTCAGCTGTTTTTTTAAATTCGAAATCCGCCAGACTTTCTTTTAAAATCCAATAGAAAAGTGCCTTGTTCCTCTCTTATCATGTCCCAGATACAGTTTCCATGGAGCCGTTGGAAAACTTGTTTTGCACTGAGAATCGTATGATTTGATTTGATTTGGTCACTTAAACCCAGTCTAAAATTTCGATCTAGTAAAGTCATTTTGGAATTATAGAATGGACGTAAGACAACCCTAATAGTTTGATTTGATTTGATTTGATTTGATTTGATTTGATTTGATTTGATTTGATTTAACGTTACATTGAAAGGCTGTTTAAAAAAAGAACAACATCCTAATTTCAGAATATTTTCTTGATTCTAAAAAATGAATATCCCCCCTGTAATCTTGAATGCTAGTGCTCGTCACACTGCTACTCTTGTGTTCCTTCATGGACTAGGAGATACAGGTCTAGGATGGGCAGGAGCACTCAATACAATCAAACCAGACTTTTTAAAGGTAAAATATTGACCGGCCTCGCAGAATCAATCGTATTTAATCGGTACAGCGGCCGAATTTATAGAATTTGAGCGGCGGTTTAAATTTAAGCCGCGGTTTAAATATGGTTGGTTCCACTTAAAATTGTATCAAATGTTTCAAAATTTAAGCCGGCGCTTAATTGAAACCGGGTTTTGGCGGATTTAAACCGCGGCTCAAATTCTTTAAATTCCATCTCAGGATGTCTAAAGAACCTGTTGTCAATGTCCGAGTCTTAATTCTAAACAGAATATTTTTTTTTCAGAATATAATTGATATTTTTTAATGATATGTAAATGTGGATAATCAAGAATTAAGCGAAGCGCCACAAATTCTTTGTAAAATTAATTATTCTCTAGGTGATATGTCCCACTGCTCCCATGTTCCTGTAACCATAAACAGTGGCACGAAGACTCCTGAATTTCTAGTAAAAGCAATTATTCTCTAGGTGATATGTCCCACTGCTCCCATGCTTCCTGTAACCATAAATGGTGGAGCGGCTATGCCTGCCTGGTATGATATTACTAGTCTGGATGAAAAGGATGAAAAAAGAGAAGATAGGTAAACATGAACTTTTAGTTTTAGTCAGTAGTGGACAGATTATTACGCATTTAATGGTACTGTAAGCGTAAATTTAGTTGATTCTTCAATTATATAATTACTGATTAACAACGGTACCCTTAAAACCTTTGTTTGATCAGAAATGAATGAGCTATCCATGTTTCTCTTTTTGAATATTGATTATTGTTTTCTCTATCAAAGTGACTTGCGGACTTATTCTTATATAAATTATGGAGTTATTTGTCCGAAGTAAAAAATACTTTTCAAGTTAGAAAAACGACTTATCTTCTACATTGATCAGATAAAAGTTTGTGAATCCGGCACACTCCTCTTTTAAAAAAAAAACCTTTTAAAAATAAAACGAAAGTCTTTTTTGACAATTCTACCTTTTTTGATTTGTTACAATATAAAAATAATAAGAAGAATCATTTGTTGTTAACAATTTTTAATGAAATTTTATCATGGCAATTGCTTTGTTACTACATTTTTTTAATCTCTTGGCAATCTCGCTTTGAAATTTTTATTAAAAAAATACTGGTATTTACGTTGTTCAATAACTCTTTCTTTGCCTGTAAAAATATTTTTCTCATAATTCTTCAAAAATTGTTTAGGGAGTTTATTAATTTAGTGATGAAAGGATTTTGCTATTTTTTTTGTTTTTTATTATGTTATTGTTTAGTGCAGGAGTGGATTGGGCAGTAGATTACTTGATGAATATAGTCAAAGGAGAAGAGAAGCATGGGATTCAAGCAGATAGAGTCATGATCGGAGGCTTTTCTCAGGTATTTATGAGATATAGTCATGATCGGAGGCTTTTCTCAGGTATTTATGCAGATAGAGTCATGATCGGAGGCTTTTCTCAGGTATTTATGCAGATATAGTCATGATCGGAGGCTTTTCTCGGGTATTTCAACAGATAGAGTCATGATCGGAGGATTTTCTCAGATATTTATGCAGATAGAGTCATGATCATAGGCTTCAGGTATTTCAACAGATAGTCATGATTAGAGGCTTGTATCAGGTATTCAAGCAGATAGTCATGATCGGAGGATTTTCTCAGGTATTCCAGCAGATAGAGACATGATCGGAGGCTTTTTTTCAGGTATTCCAGCAGATAGAGTCATGATTGGTGGTTTCCCCAGGTATTATTGGAGGCTGTTTCCTTGGTATTAAAGCAGAGTTAATATTGGAGGAATATCTCATGTATTATAGGAAGCTATTTCCTGGGTATTCATTTCAATCAGATTAAGTTATTGTTGGAGGCTTTTCCCAAGTATTGGAAGCTCTTCCCAGGTGCATTACGATAGAATTATTATTTTTGGATATATTTATCAATTAAACATTTTTAGATGGTATCTTTAATTAAAATAAACAAGTTTTGGCAACATTATATGTGTACAGTGTACACTGTACACTATACACTGTACACTATACAGAATCAAAACATTGCAAACTTATTATCATTTCAAATGCTTTAAAAAATCCTAACTTTCTTAAAAAGTAAAATAAGGTTCAACTCAACTAATGTTCACTTTTTCAACTCAAATAATGTTCACTTTGTATTTTGGTGGGGATTGTAATACTTCATTGGATCAAAGATCTTTCAATCAGAGGCAGGCTCTAATATATTAAACTTACATATATTATCAGATTTGTATTTGTTGCAAACAAACCAAGAGTTCTTGAATTTGGAGGCAGTGTTATTTAAGCTTTTAATTATTTTTTATTAATTCTAAGGCCATATCATTTGAATGGAATACTATTTTTTACCCGTTTGGTTCAAAACAGCTTTATTTTTATTATTTTAAACCATGGATTGAACAATTTTCATCATCAATATGCAAAATGTAGATGCAAACATCACCCACCGGACCTATTTATTGGTTAGGGAATATTTATAGGGAAATTTGAGAATATTTTTTATCAACAATGTTTTGTGACATCTTTTCTCTCACAAAGCGCCACAAAATACAGATTTAGGTATCGGTAAAATGCTTTAAATAATACTGTCTCCAGTGTAATCAAGTCATAATATGATTGATATTGGCATGATTTATGATATATAATATACTCAAAAAAGTAAAATATATTGGTAATTATGGTCAGATGACTAATAGTCAGGTAGATTAACATAGATTTTAAACTTTAATTTTTTTTTCTTAATACGGGTTTTTTAGGGGTTGCACATCAACCGTTAGGGGGGTGCACACAAAAGTCAACCCCCTGGACTAAACCTCCACTATGTCCCTGGTTTCAATAACAATTTTATTAAATCGTGGAAATATTTACAAAAATAGATTTAAGTGTATTGAAGTCTATCTCTTAAATAACAAACAATCCCTTGATTACAGGGTGGAGCAGTATCATTACGCGCTACTCTAACCAGTGAGAACCAGTTAGCTGGTTGTGTTGCCTTATCCTGCTACCTACCTGGAAATATCAGTGCTCTCAAGAAGAGAATTGTAGATACTCCAGTATTCCAGGTTAATAATAAGTAATCCAGGTTCATAATAAGTATTCCAGGTTAATAATTAGTATTCCAGGTTCATAATAGGTATTCCAGGTTCATAATAAGTATTCCAGATTCATAATAAGTATGAAAAGTATTCCAGGTTCATAAGTATTCCAGGTGTATGATAAGTATTCCAGGTGTATGATAAGTATTCCAGTTGTTTCATAATAAGTATTCCAGTTTCATAATAAGTATTCCAGATTCATAATAAGTATTGCAGGTTCATAGCAAGTATTCCAGGTTCATAATAAGTATTCCAGGTTCATAATAAGTATTCCTGGTTCATAATAAGTAATCCAGGTTCATTATAAGTATTCCAGGTTCATAACAAGTATTCCAGGTTCATAATTAGTATTACAGGTTTATAATAAGTATTCCAGGTTTATAAGTATTCCAGGTTCGTACTAAGTATTCCAGGTTCATAATGATTATGCCAGAATCATAACAAGTATTCCAGGTGCAAAATAAGTATTCCAGGTTCATAATTAGTATTCCAGGTTCATAATAAGTATTCCAGGTTCATAATAAGTATTCCAGGTTCATAATAAGTATTCCAGGTTCATGATAAGTATTCCAGGTTGATAATAAGTATTCCAGGTTCGTAATAAGTATTCCAGGTTCATAATAAGTATTCCAGGTTCGTAATAAGTATTCCAGGTTCATAATAAGTATTCCAGGTTCATAATAAGTATTCCAGGTTCGTAATAATTATTCCAGGTTCATAACATTTATTCCAAGTTCATAATAAGTATTCCAGGTTCATAATGATTATGCCAGAATCATAACAAGTATTCCAGGTTCATATAATAAGTATTCCAGGTGCAAAATAAGTATTCCAGGTTCGTAATAAGTATTCCAGGTTCGTAATAAGTATTACAGGTTCATAGTAAGTATTCCTGGTTCACAATAAGTATCCAGGGTTCATAATTAGTATTCCAGGTTCATAATAAGTATTCCAGGTTCGTAATAAGTATTCCAGGTTCATAGTAAGTATTCCAGTGTATGATAAGTATTTAGGGTTGATAATTAGTATTCCAGGTGTATAATAAGTATTCCAGGTTCATAATATGTATTGCAGGTTCATAAGTATTCCAGGTGTATGATCAGTATTCCAGGTCCATTTTAAGTATTCCAGGTTCATAATAAGTATTCCAGGTTCATAATATAATAAGTATTCCAGGTTCATAATATAATAAGTATTTCAGGTTCATAATAAGTATTCCAGGTTCACAATAAGTATTCCAGGTTCATAATATAATAATTATTCCAGGTTCACAATAAGTATTCCAGGTTCATAATATAATAAGTATTCCAGGTTCATAAGCATAGAACTTTTAAAAATGATCCTCTTTATTAAAGAAAAAGAAAACATAAAATGAAGGATGATGGTATTTGTTTGAAATACATTACATACGTAAACTGGAAGCTGTCAATATAGTTTACTGCATTGCGAGGCAACTGCGGTGGAATAAGATTTATTAGATTTCTTTGCTTGCTGCACATGAAAGCTTTATTTGGATCCATCTGTCTTCTTTTTCTCTTCACAGACATATTTAATTATCTAAAAAGTCAAAAAGAAAATTTAAGAATTTAAAAACAATTTTAAGATTTACAATACTTACGTATTGAAATATAAACATTATAATTCCCAAAATTTAGGATTTAATTTTGTCCTCTTGTGCGTTTGTTATTATTGTTTTATTATTGCTATTAATGATATTATAGTATTAGTATTAATATTGGTATTGGTATTGGTATTAGTATTGGTATTAGTATTAGTATTAGTATTAGTATTAGTATTATAAGTATTATTAGTATTATTAGTAATTATTATTGTAATAAAATAATATTATGATAGTATTACCATTATCTTAATGTCTTTTATATTAAAAAATATGGTATTTCTATTTGTGTAGGCGCATGGGGACTCCGATTCTGTTGTGAGCTTCGCGCGCGGTGCCGCAACAAGTTCGATCGTTAAAAGTATGGCGGGAAATCATAAGTTCGTCACGTATCCAGGTATTATATATGTTTTTAAACGCTCATTTAAACTTCATACCTGTTCTTAAAAGGACTGTAAACTTTTATAAATTAATTTAACTATTTATTTAAATAGTTGTATGCCTTGGTACTCTTGATTGGTTCTTTTTAAATGGAGTTTCACTTTTCGTTCTAACCTAATATATAATTATAATATTTTAATTATNATTAATTTAGGAACGGATTAAATCTGATTCAAGGTCTAAATCCAGATTAAGTTTTGTTCACAAGACGGATCCAAATTACTAACACTCACCCTCCATATTTAAACTGGCATGTCCAAATTAAAATTGTACCCTAAACACCTTTGTTTTATCATTGTCCGACGACGGAGATAAACGCATATGCCGGGAACCTCGAGCTCCGTGTCAATAATGTCACATGGTTCGATTATCAGACAGATGTACAAAGGGTAGTATACCTGTGTGAATCGGATTTTCTAATAAAAATAAAGTTTAACTTGTAATTGACTTCAAGTATACAGTCCCTAAATTATTAAAGAATTCTTAGCACTTTCTCTCTTTTCTGTACGTTTTGATTTTTAAGTTTATAATAACTTTTACTAGCTTTGGAGACCAGCTTTGTCTGGATTTTCCACGATAAAAGTCGACCCAATCACTTTAGAGTTTTTAAACCAAACTAGGAACATTCCCGCGGTTTTCCCGAGTTCCCCAATCATTTGAAGCAAATCAGTCAAGGAGTTCCTGAGTTATGATCAGATATACAAACAAACAGAGCTGAGAGACTATATACTTTATAAAATTTATATATATTGTGTTCTCGACAACCTCGGGTTTCTGCCAGAACTTTATTTGTTTCAATGAAGTTCAACTTTTATAGAACTAAGTTAAGAATTGTAAAATGTAGTATAAGGTTAATACGGAGAAATTTATCCCATTTTCCTAAATGGAATCGAGGGGGAGGAGGGAGGGGGGCGAGGACGAATTGAGATTGGGAAATGGTCATTGGACAAAATTTAACGAGAAAGGGGAAATAAATACTTTTTAGATTACAAATAGATAGATTTTGCAATGGATATAAATAAACATTGAACAGGATGATGAATAAGAATGAATTATATAGAGTGATGAATAAAAATAAATTATATAGGATAATGAATAAGAATGAATTATATAGAATTGATGAATAAGAATGAATTATATAGGATAATGAATAAGAATGAATTATATAGGATAGTGAATAAGAAAGAATTATACAGAATGATGAATAAGAATGAATTATATAGAATGATGAATAAGAATGAATTATATATGATAATGAATAGGAATGAATTGTATAGGATAATGATTAAGAATGAATTATATAGAATGATGAATAAGAATGAATTATATAGGATAATGAATAAGAATGAATTATATAGGATGATGAATAAGAATGAATTATATAGAGTGATAAATAAGAATGAATTATATAGGAAGAATGAATTATATAGAATGATGAATAAGAATGAATTATGTAGGGTATTGAATGGGTCTGAATGGAAAAGGTAATAAATATATCGGATACCTGGCACTGGTTTCAAGGAAACTATAATTTACAAGATACTTTCATTTTCTTCTTTTTCTACTTTAGCGTAAAAGGTAAAAATTGGATTGGATTGGTAGATAAATTCATAGTTTGTTGGTCACCATAAATATTATTAAATGAAGTTTGAACAATAAACATTAAATATTTGATTTTCACAATTTTCGAAAATAAGAAATGTCATTTGCATTACGCGATTCAATTTATGCATGTGATGGTGCCGGCCCGGCTTATTGTACGCGTTAAATTCTTAAAGTTACCCGTGCTACACACACCCCACCCCTTACTCCCCTCTTCTAATATATATTTGTTTTGAAGGTTGTAATTTTTATCATATCTCAAATTTTTTCTATTTAAATTGGCACATTTTTAAAAACGAACTCTTGACATTTTGACGTTTATTGGGCACAAACAGACAAACAAAGTACATATCTATATATAAATTTGGCTTGTCTTGGTGTTTGTTTGTTTGTCTGTCTGTAGTACAAAATTAAGGTACAATAGATATAATCACAGATAAATATATTACGAGGTGTACAGAATATGCATATTTAAAGAATGAAAGAATGAATAAACATATTAATGTTCTCATTTGTAACTGCATTTTAAAGGCGGTACATAAAAAAACAAACAAATAAACTCATTTAATTCTTGATAATCAAAAGTGTCAATAGAAATTAGATTAGATACTATATCTAACAATTCAAAAACAAGTGGTATTTTCCAATTGCTATCCTAAGGTATCAATCAGTAAGCTAAATTTTATTAAACATAATGTTTGGACAGATTGTCCCATTAATGAGATATTGCAATCTTTTGCAATAGAATTCATATTTTTACATAAAATTGTTTTATGGTCATTTTTAAAGAGAAAAAAAGAAGACATATAAATAGCTTTTTAACTTGCAATTAAATTTTTCTTTGTATAGGTATGGGACATGAGGCAACACCTGCAGAGTTAGAGGATATAAAAAAATTCCTGCTGGAAACATTTAAACAGTAAAACCGGTTTTCTGTATGTACACTGTATGTACACTGTATGTACACTGTATGTACACTGTATGTACACTGTATGTACACTGTATGTACACTGTATGTACAATGTATGTACACTGTATGCACACTGTATGTACACTGTATGTACACTGCCAAGAAAGTAACAAATGAAGTTCGCGTACTGCATTGGAGAGAGTTTCAAACAATCATTACCAAAAAATGTGCGTCAATTTATCTTGTCTATTTATGTACTATGTACATAAAAACTTAGATATACACTGTACAGAGAGAACCAGAAAACTGTGGAATAGGAAGACTAAATTAAAGCAGTAAGTGTATTTGATGTTGTTATAAAGCAAATGATTTTACTATAGACTTACTCAATCCCTTAATAAGTGAAATGGAACTGTTTACACTGCACATGATAATTGGACAATTTAAATAAACATTGTGCATAAACGTCGTCTTCCTTTTCCAGAGTGTTCTGGTTTTCCCTGTACACCTATCAATTTTATCAAAAATCAACCAATGCAATTGGGGAAATCCGCAAACTTCCAAGTAAAGTCGACGATTATATAAATACAACGAAGACGACTTTTTTCAAACTTTGATTGTTAACACGCTTTTTTTTGGAGTACAAGTTTACAAGTGATCAACGGGAAACTGTTTTAATTGACAGCTTCTATTGTTTCCATTTGTATGTGTATCCATGCTGTTTACGAGTTTGATATAAATCAAAATTGAAATCGAAATTCGTCTTATGTGTATTGATATATGCGACGACTACTGTTAAAATTATTATTTATCCACAATGTACATTATGTAGCACATTTGTTAACTTTTATAGTCTTTTTTGTTATATTTTTTATTTAACAGTATGAAATAAATTATGCAGTCTAACCTTGATGATTTGATCCTTTAAGAAGTAATTTAATTAAAATAGGCATCTGGCATCTGCCCCTGGTCCAGCTACAATTTTGCCATTTATATCTTGCTTTTTAGGCTGGTTTTTTCTCTTCGTAATTTAATTCAAATTTTGCGGATTTTTCTTAACATTTTAAGATTTTAAAAATTAACAGTTTTCATTTAATCAACCTTCTCTGGGTCATGCATGTTGTCACAACAAAATGTTGAGTACAATCGATTCTGTCGTATTGACGTTTATTGAATACAAGAAAACAGACAAACCAAGTATAGATAGAATATGTAGAAATAAAGGAAGACGCAATAATTATTATAACGACATTCATGACAGAAATATGCTAACAAAATACTTGTTAATTAAAATATTGATTTGAAAAATATGTTTGATTTCAAAAAACTGAATGAATTTAGAATTTAAGATAAGATTAGAGAATTTACCATTTTTTCTCATTTTTGAACTTTCTGTTCTTTCAAATGCAAATTTGAGCATTTGGGGGAATTAATAGAGATTGTCTTTAAAACTAAAATTTTATCGAGAATTTCATATATTTTTTTCATGAACAATGAACATCTTTATATTTTTTCTGAATTTTATAATCTTTATATTTCTCTGAAATTCTAAGCTTTATATTTTCTCTAAAATTCTGAACTTAAAATTTTCTCTTAAATTCTTATCTTTATATTTTCTCTGAATTTTGATCTTAATATTTTCTCTAAAATTGTGAAATTTAAATTTTCTCCAAAATTCAAACCTTTAAATTTTCTCTCAATTCTAATCTTTATATTTTTCTCTAAAATTCAAATCTTTATATTTTCTCTTAAATTCAAATCTTATATTTCTTTAAATTCAAATCTTATATTTCTCTTAAATTCAAATCTTTAAATTTTCTCTTAATTCTAATCTTAATATTTTCTCTTAAATTCTAATCTTTATATTTTCTCCTAAATTCTAATTTTTATATTTTCTCTGAATTATAATCCTTAATTTTTCTCAAAAATTAAATCTTTATATTTCTCTTAAATTTAAATCTTATATTTCTCTTAAATTCAAATCTTTATATTTTCTCTTAAATTCAAATCTTATATTTCTCTTAAATTCAAATCTTTATATTTTCTCTTAAATTCAAATCTTATATTTCTCTTAAATTCAAATCTTTAAATTTTCTCTTAATTCTAATCTTAATATTTTCTCTTAAATTCTAATCTTTATATTTTCTCCTAAATTCTAATTTTTATATTTTCTCTGAATTATAATCCTTAATTTTTCTCAAAAATTAAATCTTTATATTTCTCTTAAATTTAAATCTTATATTTCTCTTAAATTCAAATCTTTATATTTTCTCTTAAATTCAAATATTATATTTCTCTTAAATTCAAATCTTTATATTTTCTCTCAAATTCTTATCTTTAAATTTTCTCCCGAATTTTAAAATTTTTTATTAAAAGATTTTTTTTACAAAATTTATTATTTTCTAAATTAAATACAATTACATATCACAGAGGGAATTTATGTACAAATAGTTTACAGTTGTAAGTACTAAGCTCTGCTTTTTTCATTTTATAGAAATACGAATTCTGTTTAAATTAGAATATTTGCTGAAAGAAGGTATATTGTTCATTTTCAATTAGAATTATATTTCTTTAAATGAGAAACTTGAGAAAATTTTCGCTACATATTGTTCAATGTTTTCAATTTAATACAAGTTAGAAGGATTTATGGCAATTTGCAGAGATTTGAAAACTAAATACATGGCACTAAGTTTATGCACAGCCAGGGCAAATATTGCCTAATAATTTTCCTAATAGTAATCATATCAAACAAACTTCACACAAAAATTTACTCTTCAAAGCTTGTCAAATGTGCGCAAATTTTTAATCTGAAACTTGAATAATAAGCGCAAACACCTTTTTTTTAGTAGTTAGAGATTCAATTTAAAAACGTTAAAATAAAAAGAGAAGTTGAGAGAGCTGCAAATTGCAATGTTTCATGAAAGTTCCATCTCAGAATTCGTTCAATATTATGTATATATAGGTATATAGCAGGTAGATCCAGAATGAATATATCGTCAACCTTGAAACGAATGAGAAAGGTTCAGATCGATTTTACTACATTTCACAAATTATTTTAGATGTGTGAAATTATGAAGACGACCCTGAGGTGTATTTTACTAAACCACAAACCCCTGATATGGAGTGGATTTAGATCTTTGATGTATAACAGCAGATTGAGGTTGGGAGTCTAATTGTGAGTGGGACGGATGTTTCCTGTGGTATGGAGCTAATGTTGCGGTTCGGAGCTGGATATTTGGAGGTTTGCCATTTCCAGAGTTAAGTTGGGATGAGGACCTTGTTAGTTTTCCTTTGTTTGGGAGTTGTGAGGATTGAGGAAGTAGTTGTGAGGTGTGATACAGCAGAGGGGTTGAGGTTATAATCTTTGCTCCGGGTCCAGGTAGAAAGGTTGGAGAGGATTGAACTATGCTGAGCGGAGAAGGGGATATTGCAGATCTACTCCGTTGATGGATCAGCTGTTGAGTCGGACTCTGGGAGTAGGTTTGGTTCTGAGAGAGAAGGCTGGAAGAACGCTGATGCTGCTGGTTCTGGATATAAATATGGTTCCCAGGAGTACTCGTGTTTCCAGGTAGACCTGGAGAACCAGGATTATAATCATTCTCACTTCCTGCCGAGGAAATTAACTTGTAGATGAACGAGGTTGACCCATAGATGTGTTTGGCTGAACCTTGGTCCTCAGGAGGCTGAGGCTGAGGTTGGATTGCCTGCCTGAGGTTTATGTTGGAGGCTAGAAGTTGAGATGTGGGAGAGGGAAGGGAGGCTGGAACCAAGGTTGATTTTGATCTCTGATGATGAATACTTGGACTCCCAGCTTGTTGCTGATTATAAATCTCGGATGATGATCTCTGATGAGTATTGAAGATATCTCCGTGCCCCTGAGTCCCGGACTGACACCGAGCTTTCTTTGGTTTAGGAGTGAGGTAGATAAACTCATTGTTTGACTCGACGGTGGATGGGATGGATTGGCGAGATTTGGTTTTGAACCGGAGAGAGTCAAGACGTGCTCCCGCCTGGTTCAACGATACTGTCGAGATATGAGCTGAAGAGACGCCGGAATCCGGGACTTCTTTGTGCAAGAAATTCCAGGTATCCTGGTTATCCAGGAGCTGGGTTGTGTTTGTCTTGTCAAGCCTAGGTTGGGGATCTGGAAGCGTGTATCTTAGCTTGGTCCAGAATTTGGATTCCTTCCAGTGCAGGACGGAATGGCAAGAATTGATGAATGATTTTATCTCAGAATTGTTTAAAACTTCGTAGTCAAATAGATCTTCGAGTAGGATAAGAATAAGGTTTCGACATAACTCCGGGTTGGGTTGGAGTAGCGTGGTTTTAATCTGTTCCCACTCACACTCTAGATACACCTTGGACATGATGACAATAATACTAGCACTAGACTTGGCAGCAAACACTGTAGCAGGGTTAATGTCTCTGTTGGAATTGGCAATATCTCTATAGTTGAGACACAACCTATACCGTCCCAGCTCTTCCGCTATACCTAGAGCAACACTTTCATCTTTTATGCTATAGGATACATACGCATCATACATTGTATCTTCTCCGGATATATTCTTTGCAAGGATTCGAACCCCGTACTTTGAGTGTATCCAGAGTTTGATTGTATCCTTCATTTTGTAAGCAAGGAAGGCTGAGATGAGCAAAGTGACGAACATAACGCAGCAACCAATGGCAATGGATAGAATTTTCCCGTCATCTGAGTTTAGGCTCATAAACGCAGAGTTTCTGGACTCTATACAGTTTCTCTTGTTGGTTGTTGTATAGGAGTCGTCTATCAGCTTGTCCACGATACACTTCACCTCGTGGGCGTCAATGATCTTGTCCAGGTTTCCGTCGATAAACATTCGGAACTTGTTCACAAAATCACAATGACAGGTCCAAGCGTTCTCAGCGACGTACACCCCGATGATGAAGGGGTTGGACGCCAGCTCCCAGATTGGGAATGTTGTCAGAAGATTGTTGTCAAGCCGCAGCACAGACAGAGACTTTAGCGCTCGAAATGTTTCCTCCGCAATACTTGTGATCCTATTGTTCTGAAGATAAAGCTCACGAAGGTTGACCAGATCAGTAAACTCTGCTCCTTTCAGGACCCAGAGTTCATTCCCACTAAGATCAAGTAGCTGCAGATCAAGCAGTCCTAGCAGGGTGTTGTTACTGATCTCCGATATCCTAGTGTTGTTCAGGTACAAGTTCTTCATCCTTGATCTCCCTAGGAAGATCTGACCGGAAAGGTCACCAAGACTGTTTCCGTCCAAGAACACACTGGTGGCGTCCATGGGTATAAGAGGCGGTATCTCACGGTGTCCCCGGGCCGAGCATTGGATAATATTAGCTGACCACGTAGAGTCATGGAAACATGAACATCCATCCGGGCACTGCATGCGGCAATCACACCCGAAGAAGTCACAGCACATGCACAGAGAGAAACAGTGGGACTCATACTCACACAGAAACTGATTTGGTAGCACGCTGGTCACAGAAGCTAGCGCAGTCGTGTTACCGTTGTAGTTGACCAGGCATTCTGTATCCTGAAGGTCAGCTAGGGCTGGGAGCCGGTCAGATGAGCCTGGTGTAATCAACCACTGCATCTCACAACTACACTGGAAGGGGTTGCCGGCCAAGAAGAATTCCGGCTTATCTGCAAAAATATATTCTTAAAATACAAAAACATTTAGGAATATTACTATAAATAAGTATTAATTAAAGTGATAATTATGATATCAATTTATTGTTTTTTATAAATTCATTTTAAGTAATAGATAGAAAATATTTTTATGCATTAATACTTTTTATATTTGAAAATGTAAAATTTCTTATTTATGAAGGAAAATATTTTGTGATCATATTAACTAAATTAAGAATTAACAATGGTTTATAATACACAAAAACATTTATTGGTTGATATATTTTTTAAAAGTAACAATTTTTTTCATAAATAACTAAATTTCATGATTAAATTGTGACTGTAAATTTGAGTTCAGATTTTTATCAAATGAATTGAATAGTTTGAATCATAATAATAAAAATAATAAAAAATTTCAAGAATAGACATCGATAAGAAATAATATATAGAAAAATATGCTATTTCTAATCATAACCACGAATTGCTCATTGATAATATTGCTTCTTTTGTGTTAAAGAGATTTTAAATATTTAATCATAATACCTCCCCCCCATCCCTCCTTCGAGAGGGTTGGCTTGGAAAGAGACACCAGTGTAATAAAATATACTTCTGATATTTATGACCAGTGCATATAATCAGTTAAAATCAGACAGAAGATATGGGGCCTGTGTCTAGTGTCTAACAAGTTTGTGTCTGCATGTTAGAGTGTGTGTTTGATATGGCTTGGTGGTGTGTTTATAGGAAACTTTTCGTTTCTTAACAGAGTGCTTTAAAAAAAACATGAAAATATTGGGACGATATATTTTATTAGACAAAAATATGTACTTAAACATGCTACCAGCAGTATCCTGAGCTATGATAAGATTAAGAACGGATATGTTACCAATAGTATCCTGAGCTATGATAAGACAAAGAACGGATATGCTACTAATAGTATCCTAAGCTATGATAAGACTAAGAACGGATATGTTACCAATAGTATCCTGAGCTATGATAAGACTAAGAACGGATATGTTACCTATAGTATCCTGAGCTATGATGAGGCTGGCAAGACTAAGGACGGATATCTTGTTGCTCCTGAGATCTACCCTGGAGAGATTATTTTTTGACAGGAAAGTGTTGTGTCCGATATCACTGATCTCATTCTCACTAAACATGGATAAATTACACATTAAACTAAACACGGATATATTACACATTAAACTAAACACGGATATATTACACATTAAACTAAACACGGATATATTCCACGTTAAACTAAACACGGATATATTACACGTTAAACTAAACACGGATATATTACACATTAAACTAAACACGGATATATTACACATTAAACTAAACATGGATATATTACACGTTAAACTAAACACGGATATATTACACGTTAAACTAAACACGGTTATATTACACGTTAAATTTCTAATATGCAACTGGACAATTTTTGTTCATATTTGTGACTAAAATGAAAAATTAAAAGAGCTACGAGGTTACAAAGCATTCAGTAATGTCGCATAAATTTAAACTTCGATTTAAACCCATTTTTACATTTGATAACTTTAAATTTTCAGTTTTAAAACTAGATTAAACTTTCCTTTCAGATTTTGTTTTATCTATATTTATTTTTCCGTACCTGATTATAATCTCTGCTAGATGTTCCCTACATGATTATAATCTCTGCTAGATGTTCCCTACCTGATTATAATCTCTGCTAGATGTTCCCTACATGATTATAATGATCTCTGCTAGATGTTCTCTACATGATTTTGATCTCTGCTAGATGTTCCCTACATGAGAATAATCTCTTCTAAATGTTCCCTACCTGAGAATGATCTCTTCAAAATGTTCCCTACCTGAGAATGATCTCTTCTAAATGTTCCCTACTTGAGAATGATCTCTTCTAAATGTTCCATACATGATTATGATCTCTGCTAGATGTTCCCTACATGATTATGATCTCTGCTAGATGTTTCCTACATGATTATGATCACTGCTAGATGTTCCCTACATGAGAATGATCTCTGCTAGATGTTCCCTACCTGATTATGATCTCTACTAGATGTTCCCTACATGACTATTATCTCTGCTAGATGTTCCCTACCTGAGAATGATCTCTAGTAGATGTTCCTACCTGAGAATGATTTCTTCTAAATGTTCCCTACCTGAGAATGATCTCTGCTAGATGTTCCCTACCTGAGAATGATATCTGCTAGATGTTCCCTACCTGATTATGATCTCTACTAGATGTTCCCTACATGATTATGATCTCTACTAGATGTTCCCTACCTGAGAATGATCTCTTCTAAATGTTCCCTACCTGAGAATGATCTCTGCTAGACTAGGAAGAAGAGAAAGAACTCCTAGGTTTCTAATCCTGTTCCTGCTCACGTCTAGGTACTCCAGGTTGAACCCGTCCTTCAAGGAGTAGTAGTTCTCCACCTCCTCTATCCTGTTGTTCTATAAGTACCAGAGGTTTAGATATCATCTTAAAGGGACTGTAAGCGTAAATTCAAGGGACTCTTCATGCAAAGATGACAATGCCCGATTCACAATGGTACCCTTAAAACCTTTGTCTGATAAAAATGAACGAGATATTAAAGTTTATAATTTGGAAAACTGAATATTTTCAATTGTGGGTTCTCTCCAAAAGTGACTTGCGCATTTCTACTGCAGGAACATTTATGGTTCATCAGAATTAAAAACTATTAATCCTAGAAAAGTGATAATATCTTCCTCGTTATTGATTAAAAAATACGGGTTCAATGGTACCAATCTTAATCGGGCATTATCATCTTTGCATGCAAGGTCCAGGGTGTCCCAAAAAACATGGGAATTCAGTGACGAATTCGATATCGTCTTTTCAAATAATTCTTTGATTTAGTTTAGTGATACCTACTGAGAAAGCTGTAATCTGTAAGAGTTTCGTCTGCTATGTTTACATTTTGTTTGTTTATGTTTTGACTGCATACAGTTGTACTTAGTAAAACAAGAAAATTGCAGTATAGAAACAGAGTAAACTTGTCCGTCTTCACTGTTCATCTTGCGGAGACATTATAGACACATCTTTACAGTCTTTTACCCTTTTCATAAAATAAGCTCTAGCAGACATAATAATATTATGGCTTTTGAAATTAGGTATTACAATGCTAATTCATAACAAAGACGATATTAAATTCGTCACTGAATTCCCATGTTTTTTGGGACACCCTGTACCATAAACATACGTTTACACTTCCTTTATAGGAACAGAATACTCGCATCAAACTCTAATTTCCAAATCATTCTTTACATTTCAACCTGATAGTCAAAGTTTAGAAAGATTAAACTGTTACATCTAGAAGCTCTTTATAGTTTGAATTATTATAATTTACAAAATTATAAGGATTTTCAATTTAATGTTTGAAGACCTAATACAGTAGCTTCTCAAAGTAATTTTCAAAATAATTTCAATCTCAAAGCTAGACTTTCCAATGTAATTTCTCAAGGGCAACATTATAACTAATTGTTTTCTATGCAACTTCTTATGCAATTGAGCAGTATGCATTCATGATCCTAATTCTAGTTTTTTAGCAAAAAATATGATTTTACCTGTAAATCAAGAATTTGAAGAGAGTTTGGAATGAAAGCATAATCAAACCATTGAATGAAATTGGAGGACAGATTAAGGAAGCTGAGATGAGTTTGTGTTGTGAGAAGGCCGTTTATATCCTCCAACTGGTTCTCAGCGAGGCTGAGCTCGGTCAACGAGACGAGGGCGGCGAGCGTCGACTGTTCGATTATCCTCAACCGGTTTCTTGAGAGGTCTAGATGGGTCAACCTCGGTGTCTCGTTGAAACTTGCGACCTCGAGCCTCGAGATTTCGTTACTACTGAGGTTAAGACGAAGAAGGGAGGACATACCCTCGATATCCTTCCGACTAAGGACGCCAAGGATGTTGACGCTGGCGTCGAGGTTAGTCAAGTTAACCAGCCCAGCTGGAAGCTCAGTTAACAGGTTGTGGGATACACTCAAATATCTGAATAGAAAAACATTAATTATTCAGACATTTAGGTTTAATACAGTGGTGCACATACATCTGTGGAATAGGATGACGACATTATGTGTACTAGATGTAAAGGAAAAATAATGTATGTATGTACACTGTACAGGGTAACCCAGAATACAAAGAATGAGACTTCAGAGACGACTGTACGCAATTTACACTGTCTGTCTCCCTGTTTCTTATATTTATGAATCCCTGCGACTTAAAGCTTGTCTTTTCTTTTCCCAATCTTAAAAAGAATAAAACACAAAAAGCCGACATTTTAGAAGATAGACTTAATTTATCCTTGGGAATGTCATATTTTAAGGGTTTCAGGTCATCTTTACAGTCTCACTCTTTCTGCGTAGCCCTGTATGTTATACAGTAAGATCTAGTTGCCTGAAGTTGGTACGGTACAAGATCTAGTTGCCTAAAAGTCGGCACGGTCCAAGATCTAGCTGCCTAGAAGTCGGTACGGTACAAGATCTAGTTGCCTAGAAGTCGGTACGGTACAAGATCTAGTTGCCTAGATGCCTAGAAGTCGGTACGGTACAAGATCTAGTTGCCTAGAAGTCGGTACGGTACAAGATCTAGTTGCCTAGAAGTCGGTACTTTAAATGAACCGGAGTTTAAAAAAGAAACTAACCTAAGATTGGTTGTATTGGTGAAAGCCTCCTTGTTAACTGACTGAATCTTGTTGTGAGCAAGGTCGAGAACCTCGAGGTTCCTACTGGAGGATAGCATGAGGCTGGGGATGGTCTCGAGGGCGTTGTGGTTGAAGAGGAGGGTTGAGAGGGCAGGAAAGAGGCTGATCTGGAATCCTCCGACCTCGTTTATTCTATTGTGGGCTAGAGACAACCATTCAAGACTCTGAAAATACAAAATTTTAAGAAAAGAAATTAATTCAATAATATTTAAATAATTTGATAATCTTAAAACGTATTTGTTAAATCACAAGTTTCTAAATTCAGAATTATAGTTGAAAAGACCAGCATTAAAAAATTCACAATTTTTTGTTTCAAACATAAAAAACTTTACGCACCTTTAGATCTCTGAACATATTTTTATCTATTGAAGAAATATGATTTCTGCTTAAATCTAGAACCTTTAATCTTGTCAAACCGTTGAAGGTATCCTAAAATATAAATAAAAATTAAAAATGTAAAATTTAAGTTTTTTGATTTTATTTCCCCTTACCTTTAACCAGTTTTGGTCCAGATGATTTCTGCTCAGGTTTATATAGGATACTTCACTAGTATTCCTAAATGATATAGCATTAAAGGGACTGTATAGGATACTTCACTAGTATTCCTAAATAATATAGTATAAAAGGGACTGTACGCGTTATTTCAAGTGGCCCTCCACGAAAAAATGGGAATGCCCGATTTACAACGGTACAATTGAAACCTTTGTCTGATCAAGTATGAATTAGATATCAATGTTTTTGTTCCTATAAACTGTTCATTTTCATTTGCGGTTTCTCTGCGAAAGTGACTTGCGCATTTCTTGTTTATAAGAAACAATGGAGAATCTCAGAAAAATATAAACTTTTCTAGTCAGAAAACGAAGGTATCTTCCACATGTTCAAGGCACTGTAAATCGGGCCTTGCCATCTTTTTATGGAGGATTATTAATGATAAAAATGTATACCTGAATATAGATATATGAATGGTCCCTATACTATTATTAGAAAGATCAATCTGCTTTAGTCTAGGATTATCTAGGAATAGATCTGGAGGAAGAGCTGTTAGATCATTATCACTGATATCAATCTCCTCCAGCTCCTGGAGTCCCTGGAAAGCTGATCTATCAAGAGCCTGGAGCAGGTTCCCTTTAGCTCTGATACTCCGGAGCCGAGGAGCAGTCCCTAGTGAGTCCTCAGGGACTGCTCGGATTTGATTAAAGCTCACATCCAGCTCCGTGATTGGAACTGAACACGGATCCGTTGTTAGGGAGCTCAGACCTAGAACCTGGAACCCTGACAGCTGGTTGTGGCTCAGGTCAACCACTAGCTCGGTGTTGAGCGGGCAGAACAGTTTGGCCGGCAGCTGGAACATGTTGTTTCGGGTCAGGTCGAGACGGGTCAACTTCTCCAGGCCAATGAAGGCCTCGTAGTCGAGGTCCAAGGTGATGGCGCTCCACTGACTGTTAAAGGTCTGGACGGAAAGCTGCTCCAGGTTGGTTAAACCAACGAAGGAGCGAGGAGGAAGGGTTCGGAGCTTGCAGTAGGATATATTCAAGGACCTGGAGCAAAAATGAAAATTCAACTTTTTGAAATACAAAAATTTTGTATTGTTGTTAAAAAAAGCTTCCACTGAGCCCTAGAAATTCATTCCAACCTTCCAAAATTAGTTGAAAATTATATTTTACCAAATGAAATATTCAATTCACCGAGTTATTAACGTTTAAAGATCTAATATAATAAGGGAAGTAAAATTAAAATATGAATTCCTCTTGCATGTTTTAAGAGCGGGGAAGGGGGGGTAGTTCTCAAAACTATGTAAAAATAATCACCTAAGGTTGTACAAGAGCAATAAAGGGGGGGGGGGTAGTTTTCAAAACTATGTAAAAATAATCACCTAAGGTTGTGCAAGCTACCGAAATGATCTGATCTTAAATTAGATTCATAAAAGAAAACATCTGAGCAGAAAACCGACAGAGATTTTGTTCTCTCAAGATTAGAATCCTCATCTGTGCTGAACACGTTCTTTAAATTCAAACTCCTAAAAATATAAAATTATATATTTATAATAAACGTAATTTCAAGTTATTTAGATTTACAACAATACCCTTTAGCCCTTTCTCAGATAAAATATCTTTATTTTTCTAGTTGAAAATGTTCAATAATTTAATATATTTTTAAATGTTAAAACATTTTGATCTAGAAAACCGAAAATGTTAATTCAGATATAGAGGTTTAAAGGGTATCGTTTTGATTCGAACATGCCACTCTTCAAACTTGAAATTATGCGTACATTCCCTTTAATATTAAATATTCTAGTTGGAATTGGAAAACTAAATAGAAAATGCAAATTTAAGAATTCTTTAAAACACTTGAAGTCCAAAACACACAATAGAATAGATCATTATAAATTCTTAAACAGAAACTGTTTTAGCAGTTTTCAAGAACATGCTTTTCTAAAATTCTTAGTTTGTAACTGTCTTTCAATTTATATATTTTTATCTATATATTTGTTCTTATTTTGCCTGTGAATATCCACATAAGTTTCTATCTACCTACCTATTTCTCTACATATATATATATATATTTACTTTCTTTATCTTCGCATAAATACTTCAAACAACTTTTTTAAATTTATTGTTTTATTTTATGCATTATTTTCAGTATTCTAAATTATATTTCTATCTATCTATCTATCTATCTATCTATCTATCTATCTATCTGTGTATTTGTTGTTTATGTTTGAATTGTTTACACATATATTGAATTCTGTAAATGATAAATATCGTTGTTCAACCGTTCTTCAGACCCTACCGGCCTGTCCTGACTGTTTTAATCCCCCCTCCCTCTTTAGATGACCAATAATTTCCATGCGATACAAACGAGATCCATGTACACAAAATTGATAGGAGGGGGGGGGGGACCAGGGGGGATACTAAAATCGTTCTCTAGGAAATTACCAAATTATATCCATGGGATACATTTGATAATATGATATCCATGTACAAAATTGACAGGAAGGTGGAGGGAAGAGTTCCAAAAATGTATACTAGGACGTAACCCCCCTGGCCCTAGCCTGCCTTAGGCAATTTCCTAAAGAATGAATTTTGGAACCCCCGCCCCCACTACTTTCAATTTTAAACAAGATCTATTATATGCATCACATGGATATTATTGATCATGTGGCCACAGCGCCCGGCCCCTTGGCCTGTACAGCCACGGCGCTCGGGTCTGTCCTAGTGAACGATGTTTGGACCCCCCCCCCCTCCTATCAATTTTGTACACGACCAAATTAGTTTTAATTAAGCATTATTTAGGGTTAGGTTAGGACACTTTCTGGGCCGAGCGCTGCGGCTAGGACAGGCTAGGGGGCCGACCGCTGCGGCCACGGGTTATGGTTAGGTTAAGACATTTTCTGTAAAATCCATGTATAAAATTAATGAAGGGGGGGGCGGGGGTTGTCCAAAACTCGTATACTAGGAAATTACCAAATATTTTGTATACAATGACGGACCACTGTATTAGCCAAACCAATCGGCTCCAGGCCATTTTCAGAAATCGAGTAATTTATTAAGATTTTACCACCTAATTAGGAGAATAAATCACAACCTGGTATTGTTATGCTTATCCCTCGACGACATTGTAGAATCACGTCACATGTTTCACATGTTAATCTATAATTAAAAAACAAATGCCGAAATGAACGGCTTAATTTTATCAACAAAATATTTTGTAAGCACGATAAATTATGCATGAACAAAATTAAAATAAAAAGGGGCTATTGTTGAGCCCCAAAAAAAGACAAAAAACCACCTTTTTACGTTAATATTTATAAGAAAATGTTCAACTTGATACGACAGCGCCCCATCTCTTAAATGACTGCTCAGTTAAAAAGAAAAATGGCGGCCGGTGGGAAGCTGCGAAGCATGGACAGCTTAACGTAAACACGACAGCTGAATCCACAATCATAACAAAGAAATCGTGTACTTCAAAGCTCGACTTAACTTTTGGACGGGTACTACAAAGCTTTAAATCACGTGAATAGATACATAGATAGATTGATTGATAAATAGATAGATACACAACAAGGAAAACACAGGTTTTCAACGGGATTAGTATGGTGGAGAACTGGTTGATAATTCACGAGATTAATTCACGGCCCCTCCTTGTGTTATATTTGTGGTTTATCTACTTTTCACGATCTTGAAGATTTATCATGTGTAAGGCATGGGTAAAACACATGGAAATATTCTAGGAAAATTCCAGTAGTTTTTTTTACATGTTGTGCACGTAGCAAAGATAACAGTGCAAGATCTTGTATATTCCCATCGTGTTAAACACGAGTAATGCAATGCCAGAATAACTAGATTTTAATTCTCGTAATTATCACGTGTAAGATATATGAGATAATTCTGGTTCAATTCTTGTGGTTTTTTTACATGTTGTGCTCGTAGCAAGATCTCGCATATTCCCAATGTGTTAATCATGAGTAATGTAATGCGAGAATATCACGTGTAAAATATATCACCGGAAGAACTTCATGTTTTTGATTTTTGATAGAGTTGCAAAATAACAACACTTGGTGTCTCTGCTTACCTTTAAGAAACCAAAAGTATAATGTAGTAAAATGAAATATTTTAACTGACATAAATATTTTAGATTATAACAAGCATTAGCAAAGCATAGAAAATTTTCACATTGAATTTTTTATTGTAATTCTCAACAACCCCTTTTTGGAGTATCCACCTTTTAGATATATAAAGGAAGGTGATCATGAACACATCAACATAGTTGATCACTATTTAGACTTAAAATATCACTATGGGAATATTGATCATTTAAAGTTTAAATGTTCAAGATGTTTAATATAAAAGATAGAAACTAAAATGTTTGGTTTCTAAACATTTTACTTAATTTAAAAAAATTCTATCATAGACCAGTAATAAAATCGTCAACATTCACCTTGTCAACACGTGAATAATCACGGGATATTCACGGGTCACTCATGTGATATTCTTGTGTTCTCCACGGGTTTTTGATTGTCGGGTAGGTAAATAGAGAAATCTTTTAAGTAGAAAATATGATCCTAAGATCTAAGATCTAAGATCTAAGATCTAGGATCTAAGATCTATAAGGATCTAAGATCTAAGATCTAAGATCTAGGATCTAAGATCTAGGATCTAAGATCTAGGATCTAAGATCTAAGATCTAAGATCTAAGATCTAGGATCTAAGGTCTTAGATCTAAGATCAAGGATCTAAGATCTAGGATCTAAGATCTAGGATCTAAGATCTAGGATCTAGGATCTAGGATCTAAGATGTAGGATCTAAGATCCAGGATCTAAGATCTAGAATCTAAGATCTAGGATCTAAGATCTAGGATCTAAGATCTAGGATCTGCTAAATAACCACTATGCCTTGTCAGTATATGAAGGGTACCTCCCTAAATCTCACTTCCTTTAACCTTAAAATCGTTCAAGAGGATGTCTTGATAATTTCAAATCTGTTGTAAATTCTCAAAACCAATTTTGCTTTAATCTCAGTTCTTCCAGTTGCCTATAATCCTATTCGAAATTGTTTAATTCTAACAATTTTCTTCATTGTTTCTGCATGAAGGGGCAAGTTACACGCCACTTTATCAAGCTTCCCTGTAGGGACTGCAAACGGGATTGCAATATACGCTCCATTTCATGTACCCTTTAAACCTTTAAACCTTCAAATCTTTAAACATTTAAACCTTTAAACATTTAAACCATTAAACCTTTAAACCTTTAAATCTTTAAACATTTAAACCTTCAAACATTTAAACCATTAAACCTTTAAACATTGAAATCTTTAAACTTTTAAATCTTTAAACTTTTGCTTTTATTTATTTGCAATTGTTGATAATTTTGTTTGCAAGCTATTTTGTAAAAACCTTGTAGGACATTTCTATACAGTCAGTTGAGCTTGAGACTTACTGATAACCATTTTAGAGATAAACACCCAGAGTACTAGCCCTGGATGATTTGTTAAGGATTTATAGGATTACCGTTTTAAATTCGGCATTTCGATTTTTGCATGAAAGGTCGCTTAAAGTTATGCGTTCAGTTCCTTTAAAATATAAAGTTTAATTACATACTTGTGAAGTTGTGACATCCTATAACATAATTTTAAAATCTAATTTTTACCCAGAATGAAGGCCATATATGTATTTTGTATAATGTCTATTGTATAATCTGAAGGACATCTTTTTAATTAATTCTTAAATCTAGATTTCCCATTGATTGGAAAGGTTATTTTTATATAAAAACTAGCTTGGGAACCCAGCGTTTTCCAGAATACTCAAAGTTGCTTCTACCTTTTACCCGCAATTGGCACTCCTCCCACTCAGTTTATAATCTAAAAACCAAACCAAGAACATTCTCGTGCCTGTCCCAAGTTCCTCAATAAAAATTTGAGGCAAATCGGTCCAGGGGTTTATGAGTTATGATAGGACAAAGAAACAAAGAAACAAACAAACAGACAATCAGAGATTACAACTTTATATATATATAGATACGCAGTTAGAAAAAAATAATCAAATTAGCTGCAGTTTTAAATCCGTGAAACTCCTTTCATTAAATAGCTTTAGAGAAGAGCAGAATATTTAAAATTTCTTATATGTCATACTCATATGGAACATTTTAATTTTATTATACTGCGCAAAAAATAATAATTAGAGGAGCTACGAAGTCACAAAGTCGTGTAATGTCGGATATTTTGCAGAATTATTTGCAAAATAATTTAATCTTGATGGTAAAGGTTTCTGTCATATTTTACGAACCAAATAGTTTGACTAACTTATTAAATCACTTATTTAATTAATGGGTCTGTTTACACTGCACAAATACAGCGTCTGTTTATTAGGCTATTTAAAGTCAAAATTTGAGCCTGAAAGTCGTCTTTCTATTCCAGAGTTTTCTGGTTCTTACCGAAATTATTTTTCAACTCTTCAAATAAGTTTTTTACACTTTTGTATTAATATTTTATATTTAAAAGAAAAATTGCCAAAAAAAAAGTCTGTATTGAACACGTATACTTGAATAGATTTCAAAGGTGTAAAATTGTTTAAAGAGTTAAAAGATATTGGTTTTATAAATAATGAATTAATGAAGAGGGAAGCTAAAAGGATGAATAATGAATATTGATTAGGATTATTTGCAAATAAAACAAACAAATAAATAAAACATGTCCATCATCATGCACTCTGATCTGCACAGTTATAAATATCAAACATCAACTACTGAGACCGGGTCTGAATTTGACGTTTTGCTAGGCATCGGTTTGACCAATAGCTTAACTATTTAATTATATTTTTGGAAAAAAAATTTAATTCGACTAACAATCGGTGAAAAAGCTGTAAGAAAGAAAGGAAAGAATATTGCACACGTCAAACTAAAGTAAAATGCACTTAAGGTTGAAATTTTATATGTTTTCAATAATAACTCCTCTTATTGAAGCGCTAATTAAAAAATTAATGATAGTAATAAAAATAAAAATAATAATAATAATAATTATAATTATAATTATAATAATGATAATAATAAAAATAATAATAATGATAATGAAACAAAAGGGTTGCATATTTATGACAATATCATTAAATGACCCAGCAGTTATTATATATCAGTTAGTAAATGATTATTCTAAACTCTGAGTGTACGCATCCAAGCAGTTTATGTATGCCTAGATACATGTATAATGGGAAACCTGAAGGTATATGTATGATATTCTCGTTCTTTAATGTCCCTACACGTACACATTTATTACTTCGAGTCCTTCAAGCAAAGGGTGTGTTGGTTTGGGTTTGTGAGTTTTAGCTATTTGGATGGGTGTTTGGCTTGAAGCTAGGTGTTCCGCTAGTTGGTTGGTTAGTTGTTTGGCTAGTTTATACTAGTTGTTTGGCTAGTTGTTTGGCTAGTTGTTTGACTAGGTGTTTGGCTGGGTATTCGGCTAAATGTTGGCTAGTGTTTGGCTATGTGTTTAGCTAGTTATTTGGCTAGTTGATTGGCTAGTTGTTTGATTAGGTGTTTGCTAGGTGTTTGGTAATTGTTTGGCTAGGTGTTTAACTAGCTGTTTAGCTAGATGCTTAACTAGTTGTTTGGCTAGGTGTTTAACTAGTTGTTTGGTTTAACTAGGTGTTTGGCTAGATGCTTAACTAGTTGTTTGGCTAGGTGTTTAACAAGGTGTTTGGCTAGGTGTTTAACAATTTGTTTGGCTAGGTGTTTAACTAGTTGTTTGGCTATGTGTTTAACTAGGTATTTGGCTATAGGTGTTTAACTAGGTGTTTGGCTAGGTGTTTAGCAAGTTGTTTGGCTGTGTTTTTAACTAAGTGTTTGACTAGTTATTTGTTTTGTTTTTTGGCTAGATGTTTAACTAGGTGTTTGGCTAGTTATTTAGATATGTGTTTAACTAGGTGTTCGCTAGTTATTCCTTTTGTTGTTTGGCTAGATGTTTAGCTAGGTGTTTGGCTAGGTGTTTAACTAGTTGTTTGGCTAAGTGTTTAACTAGGTGTTTGGATATTTATTGGTTTTCTTGTTTGGCTAGATGTTTAGCTAGGTGTTTAACTAGGTGTTTGGCTAGTCATTGGTTTTGTTGTTTGGCTTGGTGTTTAACTAGGTGTTTGGATAGTTATTGGTTTTGTTGTTTGGCTAGATGTTTAACTAGGTGTTTGGATAGTTATTTCCTTTGGTTGTTTGGCTAGATGTTTAGATATGTGTTTAACTAGCT